TTAGCTATGTTACGTTACAGTTAGCGGTTAGTAATGGGTCAGCAGTAAGTATATGGATTTGTAACACTAAAATCTGGGGTTCGATTCCTCAGGATGGACAAAGTGCGGATAGCCTATTGTGTAGCTCTGCGCTAAAACAAGCTCACTCAGTTAGTGAATATTATTTTTAACTTTTATATTTATTCTGCTACATTATTCTCATCTGACAAGTCTTTGTTTAAAAGGTTATTAATTCCACTATAATTTAAGGTGTTTAAATGACGTGAAGAATACACAGTATTAGAAAACCACACCCTTAAATCTAGATTCTTTTTCAAAAAGTAAAAAATTATAATGTTATCAGCACATGCTTCTTTTTTTTTGGGGGGGGGGGGCTCTAGATTTAAGCCCAAGCACAGTTACGGCATCGCTAACACTTAGAGGTTTAATAATCAACAAACCACAGTATTCTGCTCACTCAATCCCGGATTAAGTCTATTGATCAATATACTTTCCTTTATAAGTAGTTCCTGTTCCCTTTTTTTATTTGTTAGGGGTTTAAATGATCCTCTACTCATAGGTCCATTACTCTGATTCGGTACATTCTCGGTGCTTGAGTATGACGTGAACCTTAAATTTGCATGTTTTTGTATTCGAACCTAGTGGTGGATCCAATATAACATAAAGGGCATTTATATTCATATACCACATTATACATGTTGAAGATTGATAGAATTCCTGAATAAATATTATAACCTATATAAAGACTAGAAACCTATTTCAATTCAACTTGAAGATATGCACAATGAAATAACTTGCGTCACTGGTTTCTATTCAGAATAGCCTGTGTACCTGTATATGACAGGCCTATAGATATGTTTTGTTTAGTAACATCCCAATTAAGTTGTGTAGAAAGACTTATTGTTTAAATAGTCTTGAATAACGTGGTTTATAATGACTATTGAAAAGGCATTTTTAATAAAAGTTTATTATTATTTTCTATCTCTTTATGAAGCTCAATGGCTCAGCGGCAGTCTGAGTGCTAATAACGCTAAGAGTCGGCTTTCGATACCCACGGTGGGCAGAACTCAGAGAGTCTATTGTGCTGCTTTTGTCCTTAACAAAAAGTAAATACAAAATCTCTTTATTAAATAGACATACTTACTAGTTAATGTATTTGTCCGATGAACCAATATTTTATACAAAGTTTTCTTAAAATATCGTGGTATAAAACTGTCTACAGGAAATTTTATTGATCAATAGCATTAAAACGAAAATGAATGAGCAAAACAATGTTAAGCTACAGCATGATTGTGATAAGTAATACAGTTAGGCTAGACTTACTCATAGCCCTCCTGTTTAACGTGGCCTGGCATGGCTAGATGATTAGGGCGCTTAACTCGTAACCTGAGGGTCGCGGGTTCGAATCTCCTTCCCACCAAATCTGATCACACTATAATGTGACGGTCAATCCCACTATTCGTTTGTAAAAGGGGTAGCCCAAGAGTTGGCGGTGAGTGGTGATGACTAGCTGTCTTTCCCCTAGTCTTTCACTGCTACATTAGGGACGGCTAGTGCAGATAGCCATTGTGTAGCTTTGCGCGAAATTCCAAACAAACCAAACCTTCGTTAGAAATCGCACTACAGATGTAAACGTCGCAAATTCCCTAAGCCTACAGCCAACACTACGGGGAACGTCCATCTTAGAAATTAATATTCTAGTTTATTACAAATTCTGCTATATCTAAATTACTGAGAAATTATAACGTATATACATATATATATAAGTTTTTGTTTGTTTGTTCGTAGTTAAGCACAAAGTTACACAATGGGCTATCTGTGCTTTACCCACCACAGGTATCGAAACCCAGTTTCTAGCTTGTAAGTCCGCAGACATACCGCTGTGACCATTGGGGGGGGGGCTATTTATAAGGTAAAGGAATACTAATATTAGGTGAAGTAAGTTTGTAAATGGAGACAACATCTTTTCGGCGTTCATCAAAACATATCAACAGAATCATTGATTAAGTTCTGTCTAAATCTAATTGATTGTTTGAGTATCAAATATTTTAGCAATTTCTTTATTTTCGCCTCATCAGGATATATTGTAGTAATATAATTAATTATTCATACTGTGATTGTTCAAGTAAATTGATTCATCAATATATCTACATGTTAAAATGTATATATAAACGTAAGTTTCTGCACAAACGAATTATCATAAATATATATAGTTAAAAAATGACAAAGAAGATAATTTTTACCCCCATAAGGATTATCAATCATCTGACTGCAAGCTTGCTGTTTAACAGCAATAAAGATTCGCCAAATACAGAAAGTAATAAGGTCATTTCCCATATTGACAGATTCATTCATACATGTAGGAATGAACACGATTCAGAACACAGATCTTTGTTGTTGTATATATATATATAACTACATATAAGATTATTTGTTTGATTTGGTTTCTTTTGAATTTCGTGCAAAGCCACTCGAGATCTATTTGTGCTACCAATCTCCAGTTTAGCAGTGATAGACTAGAGGGAAGGCAGATAGTCAACATCCTCAGCTTTTGGGCTTCTCTTTTATCAACGAATAGTGGGATTGAACATACCATTATAACGCCCTCCCACAGCTAAAAAGGCGAGCATGTTTGGTGACTATATAAAATGATATCGCTGTAGCTAAATGTTAGTTCAATTAAATATAAACGTAAGTATAAGTTTTGCAGAAGTAATTAACTAATCGAACCTTTAAATATGTTGTTGAAAATTCGAATTTTACACTAATTTGTCGTGTAGAAAATGAAAGGCAGAAACCAACTATTTCCTACTTTCTGTACTCAATCGGAAATGTATTCCAAAAACTAGGAATAAAGTGGTCTGAGAAGTCCATGTGGGCAACGAGATACATGCTGTGATTGTCATGAAATTTATAGTGGACATTACCTTGACTGTTGGTTACGCTGATAGTTTACTTGGTTTGGCGAGCATGTCTGGGAGGTAAACTGAAACAATATCATATCTAGAATGTGAGATTCGATATCAAAATGACTATAGACAGTAAGCAGTAAACACTTAGCTGTGTGATGTGAATTAACCAATCTGGACAGTATGTATTGCTATCAGTTGACCTGGACTGTGAATTGTGATATCAGCCGGCTTAGATTATAAACTGCGACACCAGTAGATCTAAATTGTACACTATGACACTAGAAGATCTGGGCAACTGATTATGATATTGTATCTATAGATTGTATACTATGACATTAAATAGGTTTGAACTGTTTGCTTTGCAACATCAGCAGATAAAATTGTATAATTTACCATTACCAGATCTGTATTGCTGGTTATGACATTATTATATCTAGATTGTGCGTGGAAACATCAATAGGTTAGAAATGTGTGCTACACAACATCGGTAGATTAGGAATGAGCGTTGTGACATCAGCAGATACAAACTGTACATTACGACACTATAACAGATATGGCTACTGGTTATGATAATATGTATATAGACGATATACGCTGACATTAAGAGATTCGGACTGTTTGCTTTGCAACATCAGTAGATACAAATTATACAAAGTATACTGCGGCACTATCACATCTGGGGTAACTGGTTATGATATTATTATATCTAGATTATGCGCTGAAACATCAATATATTAGGACTGTGTGCTCCACGGCATCAGTAGATGTTCTCTGATATCAACAAGTCTGGACTACTGGCCATAATATTATGTCTATAGACTGTACATTATGACAACAACAGCAGATTCAGACAACGGCAGATGGGACTACAGACTATGACGTCAGTCGATTCGTATTGCGCCTAGTGACATATGTAGATCTTTGAATTTTTGCTCTAATATCAACAGATCTGGACAGTACAATGTAACATCATTGAAACAGGACTGTGAGATGTGCTATCAGTTGGTTCAGATTTTTACTCAGACATACATAGACCTACATTGTATGCTATTACATCAGTCTCAGTTAGGGAAATGTTTATTTTGTTAGAATCAAATTTCGACATTTGTTTGTTTGTGTGCAATTAAGCACGAAGCTACACAATGGGCTATCTGTGCTCTACCCACCACGGGTATCGAAACCCAGTTTCTAGCGTTATAAGTTCGCAGACATACCGCTGTGTCACTAGGGGGGCATTTCGACATTTAAGATTTAATCATGTATATTTTTTCCAGAAAAAAAAAATCGACAGAACCTATTAAGACACAAAACCAACTCAATTTATTCTTCTTTTCTCGTAGATTTTAGCTACAAATAAATAGCAAACCAATACATTGCTATGACAAGTAAAATTGAAAATATATCTCACAAGTTAATCGTCTACCAAAAACATGTCTTTGATACAAGAAATTTGGGCTACTGTGAGAGAAAAACATAAAAAACCCTTAAAATCCTTAATTAAACAAGGAGAAACTAAACTGTCTAAAATAAAAAAAACAAGGTAAAAGAAAAATAGTTCAGCATTTCACCTAAACTGAACAAACACGCACAGTTTTAAAGTGCAAATTACTTATGTTATCTATAAAGCGCTTAAGTTTTACAGTGCAAATTACTTATGTTATCTATAAAGCGCTTAAGGTTTACAGTGCAAATTACTTATGTTATCTATAAAGCGCTTAAGGTTTACAGCACAAATTAATTATGTTATCTATAAAGCGCTTAAGTTTTACAGCGCAAATTAATTATGTTATCTATAAAGCGCTTAAGTTTTACAGTGCAAATTACTTATGTTATCTATAAAGCGCTTAAGGTTTACAGTGCAAATTACTTATGTTATCTATCAAGCGCTTAAGGTTTACAGCGAAAATTAATTATGTTATCTACAAAGCGCTTAAGGTTTACAGCGCAAATTAATTATGTTATCTATAAAGCGCTTAAGTTTTACAGCGCAAATTAATTATGTTATCTATAAAGCGCTTAAGTTTTACAGTGCAAATTAATTATGTTATTTATAAAGCGCCTAACAACATTTGGATAGAGAGAACTTACGCAATCCCACGATTGCGGCGATGAACCAGTATCCACCAGGCACAGTTTGTCTTTGATTGTTGTTTGTAAACGTTACAAGTCTTTGAGACTGTCTGGCGGGCTCCAGACGCTATTGGCAATCTCTAGAAACGAACGAGAGCACATAAAAAACGAGCCCGCTCGTGTATTAGCGCCCTCTCCAATGGAGGTATTTCAAGAAGAAACTGTGTTTGACAGTTCAGCTTGATACCGAATAGAAGGGAGGAGCTCATTCAAAGAAGCCTGGAGAGCCTTTCTTGAATTATTTCTGTACATGCATTACGCTTTCTGAAGAATCATACAGGCTGTGTTTAATCCTTCGTGAGAGTGGGAATGGACTTGATACACACACACACATCCTGCAGTTATACGCGTACTTTTATCTTCACGCATCATCGCTTAAAGTCCTACAGGTGTCGCTTTAAGAGATCGCAGAATATTAATTCACTACCATCTGTTCCAAAAAGCAAGGTTTGGAAATAATTAACTTTTGGAAGTTTTTATTATAATTGAAATAAATATCTGTATTCCTACCTGCAATTACAGGTATAACATGGAATTCTTATAGATTGATGCCCTATAAATTACCTAATGGGGAAAGTAATATGCAATTTTGTCTTCGTAATACGAAAATTAAATTAGTGGAAATTCTGGTTTGTTATGGGAACAAGATACTTTCATACCCAGAAGATTTCGACCTACTGAACTGTCAGCAATAGCCCATCGTGAAAAATGTACATACGCTGTGAATGTTTTGGTTTTTGGTTTGTTTTGAATTTTGCGCAAAGCTACACGAGGGCTATATGCGCTAACCTAATTTAGCAGTTAAAGGCTAGAGGGAAGGCAGCTAGTCAACAACTCTTGGGCTACTCCTTTACCAACGATTAGTGGGAGTGACCGTCACATTATAACGCCCTCACGGCTGAAAGGGGTGAGCATGTTTGGTGGGACGGGGATTCGAATCATATTATCAGTCAAGCGCCCTAACTACCTGGGCATGCCGGACTTCGCTGTGGATGAGCCTTCCGATTAAAACACTGTTCGGCAGTTAATTTTTTTAAAAACCAATAACTGCTCGCGATAAAGATTTTTGGAGCATAATAGCTGCTAATCTGAAGTTTTGAAAATGTTTTATGTATGAGAAGTAGTCAATATTCGATCTTGCATATTCTTGTTAGAGAGGCGGGTGTGCCATCCGCTCATTCGGTTTCTCATTTCATTGGAAACTGAATGGTTCCGTGAGGTGGTATCCAGGTTTTGCTGACTTCTATGTTAAGTTGACTGAATGTGTTATTAGCTAGTTGGATGTAAAAACTTCTTTCGTCTTTCTTTTTACAGTTAGTTGGATGTAAGAAACTTCTTTCGTCTTACTTTTATTTTTTGATTTTGCTGTATGATTTTCTTTTCAGTGATGTTGGGTTATTGTAGATAGATCGGTATTACAGAGTCACCTGAGTCCACTTTTCTTCTGAATTCTGAATTTTTGTTTCTTTGGTTCCTTCAGTGTAATGGTGTACACATTCATAATGGATGCTGTAAATAGTATTTTAGCTCCCCAATGGGTCTTTAGGTGGCTTGGTGAGCCTTAACGTCGATCATATTGTGCTGCGGTTTTTGAAAACTGTTCTGTTTTAACGGAAAAAGAACAACGAAAAACAAACTAAACGTGGCAAGAATTTAGTTTGAAGAAAGAAAGAACAACATGATAGTTGCTGGCTCTTCCCAAGTGAAGGGTTCAGGAACAATCGTTCCCCTTCAATCCGGCGTGTAAGAACGTTTTGAAACGTGGATATTTTTAAGCTAGAGTGCATGAATCATATTTATTACAGTTGTATTGACGGAAATCTGTGAAAGAGGTCGGAGAAGGCACGAGGATCTTGACACGGGAATATTTTTTTTTCTTGAGCTGATTGTAGTTTAGTTGGTGAAGTGCAGAGGCTAAGGCGGTTATAGAACAACCAGTTACAAAATGTAATACTTGTTAATTTACTGATTTTTAGCTATATTTAATGTTTAAAGTTTAAAAGTACCAGTTGGTATTAAAATTACGCATTTCAAAAAGAAAACCATTGAGAGGTGTGGGGGGGGGGCTGGGACCATTGAATATAATGCCCGGGTGAATTTAGTTGGGGGGGAACCGGAGTACCCGCAGAAAATCCACTTTCACAGGACAGACGCAGAATAATCTATCTGTCCTGTGCACTGACAGTGAAAGGAAACATGGTAGTAAGAAACAACGTGACATAATATAATATTCAAACCTCAACAAGTGTGGTTGCTTGGCTACTCTTTATTCTTCTGTTTGTAAAACAGGTTGTATGGTGATGTGTGCTTGAGGGGGGCGATTGTAATTGTGTGTAGTGCAGCTATAAGTTTGTTTCTTTTTTCGGCCTTATTGTAATACTTGTAGGCAAGCAAGGTGAGTGTATTTCTTAAAGTAGGGATTTTAGTAATTTTATGTAAATAACTTACGGGAGTGAATTTTGGAAATCTTGGGCTAATCTAATTGCTCTATTTTGTTGTAATTGTAGTTTTCTGATATGTATGTTATCTGACAGCCGTATTCCATGAAAGGGCGATTAAATGTTTTGTCTATTTTTAGAGATGTTTCTCGTGTGCAGCCTGTGTGTTTTCCGTCGATGAGTTTGATATAGTTGATGCGTTCCCTAATTGAGGCATGCATGTTTGGGATAGGTTTGTTCCATGTTAGACATGTGTCAGAGGTGATGCTGAGAAATTTAATATTATTGTTCATTTTTATTTAATGATACTTGGATTTCTTTACATGTTTCAGAGAGATTTTTGACATAGGTGGATATAGCTATGCGTTTATAATTTTCTTGTTATCTTTTTTCCTCTACTTCAAGTGTTCAGTGTATTCATCGTCAAGGAGGATTGTATTGATGTGTTTTTCTTTATTCTTCTTAGCTTCTTCTGTATTACAACTCATATTCAGACTGGAGATAAGGCAGTCTATGACATCCATCTTTACGCTTTGGGAGTGGTTTGATCTACATTTGAAATATTTACTCGAATCTGTGGAATTCCTCTGAACTTCTGTAGTCTATGGTTATGTGTCACGGTGATCATTACGTCTAGGAACGGAAGATTGCTATCTTTGTCTATTTATATCATGGATTGTAACATTAGATGTTGTTTACTAAAAGGCGATTTATGAACTCTAGAATATTGCCTGTATCAGTGCCTGGTAATATTACGAATATATGCAATATGTGTTTGTCAAGTTAGCAGATCAAGAAAACGAATGGCACACATATAAATGAAAGCCACTTCGAAACTTCGTCCTACAGGGTGTCCGAAAAGTTTGGAACGATGGGCACTTCAACGAATTTTATAGAATGTGTTCCACGTGGAGACAGTATTTCCATTCTCTTTGAACACTGCGAAGTATATTCGTGTCATTGTCAAGAGTCCACATTGCCAGTCTCCTTAAATGTAACTACCAACTTCTCAACATTTCTGTGAGTGATGTTTTTTTCTCTCTAGTGTGTATTACGATTAAATGGAAAATTTCCAGAGCCTTCCAACAAACTGAAATTGTAAAATATCAGGAAAAAAGACACAGAAAGAAACGTGAAAGGCGGTAGTGAATTTTTTTTACTAGTTTTAAGGAATGGAATTTTTTATGTATAGTGTTAGAACCATTAAGTGTCAATAATATCCAGTATTAGTATTACAGCAAATGATAAAATTAACTTAAATTTAAAGACGGTAGATAGGCTTACGTCATAGATCTGAGTGAGATGAAGCCCAATTAGAAGATAACAAGATTTATAACATCTTAACGATACTTGTTTTTTTTTTATCAGTAATAATGTCTCAATGAAAACTAAATATTTCGCTTTCACAAATATTTATTGGTCGATTTAGTCATATAATGCAGAAAATGTATGTATTAAGTATACTTTAAACAATCTGAATAAATAAGGGGAAGTCAAAAGCTTGTTTCTAATTAAACTAATAATTTTTTCTGTATACACTGCGTCCTCAGAAATTAGCACGCTATGCTCCCTTATTTGTATGTTTATTTATTATGACAGTTATCATAATATCGTTTTATGAACAAATATTTTTTCATTATAAATGCAAACCAGACTTTATGTTTTTCTCTTATTAGTTATTGTACTCAAAATATAAGTGATTCAAGACTGCTTGATAATCATGTTTCAAAGTGTAATTTAAAAGCAATTGATTTTGCATTATTGTTTTACTCTATATAAACAAGGGAAAATATTCAAAATTATCAATTTAAAAACAACAACAAGATACAAATAATTTATCAGCAAGGCTGGCGTATGATACAACTTGCAAGAATTTCAAAAGAATGAGTTCTTAGATCTAGTTTAGTCTAGCCAATAAATTTGTCTGCTTTACATGTGTGCACGTGTATTAATTATGTCCAAGTGTGCATTATAGTCCATTGCTGTAATAATTTTATGGTCAATCTAATAAATATAAACATTCGGACACCATGTTTTCTCACATCATTACCAATGGTTTGTTAATTACCAGTAGCGCAATTCTCAGTCGCACTATCCATGTTAAAATGTTTGAAATAAGATATGCATATTTCAGGAAATATATATATATATATATGTATATGTCGGAAAAATCAGGTAACGCTAACGAGCTCTCAGTTTCTGAAATTAAATGAAAAAGACATCTGAAAATGTTCTTTTTATTACTGTCAAAGCAATGTTCACGAAACAAGAAAAACGATAGTTCGTAGTTTTATGATGGGTACTTCTACATACATAAAGAACACATTAGCTAGAAAGACCGGATCTACAGAACTCATCAAGTGTCCGAGTGTTTGTCTGTTCTGATTCTAACATCACATCACTGATGATGTCAGGTATAATTAATGATCTCCCACATCAAAGTAGAGAATAAAAAAAGACGCTCCAAGCGAATGGAGTGCAGCACATACACTTTCCTAATGTTCTTCCCAACGAATACTGGGTTGAATATGATCACAGACATTTCTGTTAAAGCAACTAGTTTTGTTTCTTTAATTCTTTATAACTGTACACGAGAAAAACATACCATTCAGGTGTAACAGATACTGAGAATTTTTGCAACTTTTATTTATACAGTTTTCAAAAGTTTAAGTACGCAAGTTAACTTTGGAACACGTATTAGTTCTTACGAAAGGAAATGAAACATTTGAATTCATATTATTTAACAAAATCCTTATCAAAATCTTTTTAACACCTTATTTTTAGTAAACGAGTTCTAGCCAGGCCAGCTCAGATGATAATATTAGGTCGTCAAGAAATTAATGTATCTTTGTTTTTTAGT